CCAGTTGAACTATACTCAACCCATATTAGAATTTTTTTTAAACTATAGTATCATTGAAACTTCATAAACACATAAGTACTAAGAGCCTTTTAGTCCTAAGCATTTACAGAACAGAGCCACATTTAAACTAATTATATATTCATTTTAATGCTGCTACCATTTTTGACTGTCTTTGCCTTTCTCTTCCTGTTCTCTTTTGCCTTTTTATATTCCCACTTCATTTTTTCTATATTATTAAAAAGGGATTATGTAATATGATGTTCTGGTGAATGCAGGACCTTTTCTACTGCCTAATAAATATTCAAAAATATTTTGCATACATCCTGTGAACAAGGCTTGTGAAATCATAATGGGATGACTTATGAACATTCATTTTTCCTATACTGAAAGTATAATCTAGTCAACTGGATGGTATAGCAAATCGTCCTGACACATTTATATTAATGCATATTTAAATGAGAATAAGAAAGAAATAGTCAAATTTATGTTAAAGACTTCTAAAGGCTTAACAGCATCTTACTAAGTATATATGTCAGCTTAATCTAATCCTCCTACTTCTAACACGTTCTGTGGTCTCAGCACGGTGCCCGTAATGCTCTCGTATGTTATGAGGGATTGCCTCTGAGAAGTTCATCATCAGTACTACACTTTGTTCAATAAAACTTTACATCTGGTCTTAGGATGACAGAAAGCTATCTGTCTCAAATTTGCATTACAAACCTTTAGCTTCTTTTGACATCAGTAACACCAGCTATAATAATTTCCCATAACCTGTTACAATATGCAGAGTATACATATTCCTGATTTTCATCTTACTGTGTCAGGTACAAACAAATTTCTCTAATTTATTTGGACAGTTTTAAATAAATGACAATTTCTTTGCACCAAAAAAGCACTCATCTAATCAGAGGCTCATTTGAGAAGATCTGTAGCAGTATTTCCTCCTTTCACTCCAATGATTTTAAGTTCTAATCAGAAAAAACTACCTTTATTCTTTTCCATGCTTTTGCTAGAGGAGACAATACATTGCAATTCAAGACCTTACAAGAATTATTGAAGATTATTTGCTAATCTTACGACATGATGGAAGTCCACCTGAAACCCACTAAGAGTGGAAGTTATCTCCTCAACCATCTTCTTGATTTCTGAGATGTGATAATTTCTCTCTTTTCCATTATAGATACATCTGTCTGATGTGTTTCACATTAAAATATTTGAATAGCAGTGTCTAGCATCCCCTGGTATGTTATTAATATTATCTTTCCTCAGCAGACAATACATCTGATGGTAGCTGAAGACTCCAAAAGGACAGACCTACTTGTGGGATTAACAATGTCTAACACATGTCGAAGATCAAACATGTCACTAACAGATCATCATACAGATGGTTAGCAACCAGCACTACCTGAGCTGAATTAATAAATCGCAGCTGAAAAACTGCTCTCAATATTATTTGTGTTCTGGCAGCCACATCAAGGAAACAGTATTTTTTAAAAGTCTGTGTATTGGGCCTGCAGATTTTCAAGTCAAGATCAGTACATTTCTGCATTATCCTGTCTCCTAGTAAAATGCTATTCTATGCTTGAAAGACAGTTTTACCAACTATCTGATACTAAATTCTGATACCCACCTAGACATACTCTGCAACAGAAAGTAACCTTTGGAGGTAGTACAAATCACCACAGAGAGATCCAAATACTCAAAATATCCTAGGGCAAGTCTACAGAGACAGAGCGAGTCTATGAGCGAGTTCTGGCCATGCTCAGAGCTGACAAGACACAAACCAGTGCTATTTTGGAAGCCAGTACTGTTCCCTCTTGTGACTTGCCGCGTTCAGATTCATGCATTCTATAAGCAGAACAAGCTTATCTGAACTTGCCTAAATATATTATATGTATGTTTCGAAATCTATTCAGGTATGTTTCCAATTCTATTCAGGTAATGACTTAAACTTCTGGGTAATATGTAAAACATGCCTTTTTTTCTCCTGTGGTCCTGAATCCAGATTTAGGAAGAAGGCTGACAAGTTAATGGGCTGTTGTGGAAGAAACATAGGACCGCCTTAAGGCTCAAGAGCAAAGCAGGAACACACTATGAGAAACTGGAAGAAGTTGTGCTCATCGGAACTTAACAATCTCTAACACCTTAGGCTGGTGTTACAGGCAGGCTAAAATATCATGGGATTCAAAAGAAAGACCTGATATTAGTTCTGGTATATTACACCTGTGAAGCACACTAAAGGACACACACATTTGCAGTAGTTCTGCCAGTCAAAACTAAAGACTGCCAATAATAACTGAGAAGATAAAACATAGACTATGTCATCTTCCTTATGGACACTGTCTAGGGGATACTGAAATAAATGGGAACATCTTGGAGACCTTATGCAGTGTTTTTAAACTGAGAGTTAATATATATATGTGTGAGTACATTTTAAATTATGAGGAGTATAATTATAATAGTACAAAAGACAGTCAAGGACATAGTTCAGTAACATGCTGCATCCTTTGGAAAGCTGAGGAGGCTTCACTGGAGACTACATGCCTTTCAAGGCTCCTAGGACACATACTAGCAGGAAACTTAAATATGTCCCTGTGTCCTAACAACCTATTAAAAATCAGTCTTCTGATTTTGAATCAGAAACAGTATATATATAATATTCTGATATCAGATTAAAACTATCAGTAAGACACACTTCAGCAACAACTATTTTAATTTGAGAAGTTATTTTCAAATATATAGCATATTTCTTCTTCCCATTACATGAATTTTCTGGAAATTTTTCCTAAGTAGAAAAAGTTATTTTAAAACTCTTCATCAATGAATTACTGCTACTTGTAAATTTAATGCATTCTATATATTCTACAGATTTGCAAGAATGTATTTCTTACCAGTGGGGATAATGATAAAATTGCTATAATGACAGGAATTGTTATGACAGTGCAGAGATCTGAACACAACCAGAATGAATATATGACAATCATAACAAATCTTTCTATGTCTACACCATTGGTAGTATAACATGAATGGAATTGAATCAAATTTTTCTGTGCACAATTTATACATTATATTGAGCAAGTTAGTTAATAAAGCAAATGAAATTTATTTGGAAGTAATTATTCTATGGCTTGAGAAATATCAGAAAGAGAGCAGGCAAAACGGTAATGTTAATCCCATGCCAGGAACATGTTTTATCAGGTTTCCTTTTAGCTCTTAAACAAGACGTAGTAAAAACAACAACATTCTGTCAGACTATATGTTCATTCCTTGCTTCCTGGATTAAATATGCTTATTCTATGCCACATTTTTATAGCTTTCAATTCCTGTACTTTAAATCTATTAAACAATGTCAAGTTGAATTTTCTTCAAAAACTGCTGCAGGTTAAGAAAAAAAAAAATAGGACAGTAGAATATTTGAGGGCTAACATTTATGTCAGCTAATTAATATGGATCAGTTGTGGTCTGCAAGGATTTTTAAAGTGCATGAATGTTTGAGATAAATATAGACTAAGGATCTGATTTTATTCCTTCTCAAATTGATAACAAAGCTCTTACTGATTTCAGTACAAGTATGGTTAACCAGTTTTGTAGGTCTGACAGATAAAATAAGCTTTTGTGCTCTTGCATAATGTTAGTTGTCCCAAATTAAGCATAGTCCAAAATATAGATGTACAAGATAAGAAATAAATTATACTTGCAACATTATATTTATTGTTCTGTATTGTCTTTACTTGGTAAGAGAATGAGATTTTAAAAAATGAACATTGGGAAGAAACATTAAATTTGTTTGGTTAGCAAGTTCTATTTAAGTAAGTTGGTAAGAAATCAGCCCATGTTCAAAACCAGACACTCTCTAATCTAGAGGACACAACACCATTTCCTTGTCTTAAAACATTAATATTTACTTATTCTCAAAAGACTGCCTGTTAGCACAGAGAATTTGGTTATATGAACATAGTTCTAGATCATGACAAAAACAGGCTACCAAATAGACCACTGTTGAAAGGCTCTTATGCAAAAGATTCTTTCTCCCTATGTTTGACCCTGAGGTGGCTGGATTTCTCAGCGACTTCTCTTTCATGGAATCACAGAATAACTCAGATAGATAGGAGTGAGATTGTCTAATCCAACCTCCTACTCTGATTCTGAGATCAGAACACATAATCCAGGGCTTTATCCCATTTGGAATTAAAAATGTCCAATAGAGCCTTTCTGTATGAGAAACATGCCTGGTAACCAGAAAAAGAACAAACATATCTTAATCATAGAATCATAGAATGATTTAGGTTGGAAAAGACCCTTAAGATCACTGAGTCCAACCGTTAACCTAACACTGCCAAGTCCACCACTAAACCATGTCCCTAAGGGCCACATCTACGCATCTTTGAAATACCTCCAGGGATCGTGACTCAACCACTTCTATGGGCATCCTATTCCAATGGTTGACAACCCTTTCAGTGAAGAAATTTTTCCTAATATCCAATCTAAACCTCCCCTGGCACAACTTGAGGCCATTTCCTCTTGTCCTATCACTTGTTACTTGGGAGAAGAGACCAACATCCACCTCACTACAACCTTCTTTCGGGTAGTTGTAGAAAGCGGTAAGGTCTCCCCTCAGCCTCCTTTTCTCCAGACTAAACAACTCCAGTTCCCTCAGCCGCTCCTCATAAGACTTGTTCTCTAGACCCTTTATCAGCTTCATTGCCCTTCTCTGGACATGCTCCAGCACCTCAATGTCTTTCTTGTAGTGAAGGGCCCAAAACTGAACACAGTACTCGAGGTGCGGCCTCACCAGTGCCAAGTACAGGGAGATGATCACTTCCCTAGTCCTGCTGGCCACACTCCTCCTGATACAAGCCAGGATGCTATTGGCCTTCTTGGCCACCTATCCTTGAAAGGCACTTCTAAAATGTTTCCTTCCAATGAAACCTTATGTAGAAGTAAAAAAAAATACCTTATGCTTAGTATTAACACCTGGTTTCTGTCATTGTAAGTCTTACCTGTTCGTAGTGTTTCAGCATCAAAGATATCGTCCTTGAAGAAAGCTCTAAAAGACAAAGGACTTGCACTGAAGTCTTCTGAAAGTTTCTCAACAGCTTGTTTAAACGTAGTAACTAAGTCATGAAGAAGTCCATCTAAATCAAGCTGAGAACCGGATGGTGTAATCAAGCTCAGTCGTATAGAGATTGATGCACAAGATGCAGAACTAGACTCCACAGATTCACACTCGATTTTGAAGCCCTCTGACAACATCTTCATTGCAAAATGTTTTCTTTGGAGTGGATCATCAACAACTGCAACAACATGCCATTCAATGGCAGCATCTCTGGGTAGGTGAGATACTACAACCACAGCAAGCAACCCACACACTGCAGTTACATCACGATACATCTCTGAATCTTCAACCTAAAAGATAAAAAAAAATATTGTGCATTTTACAGAGACGGTAGAAATTAATGTTGCTCATATTCAGCTATATATTCAAAAAAGTATGTGCAGTACAGTTATTTCAGGAAGACTGTTCTTCCCCTAAACTTTTCTTCTTATTGAAAAGTCATCTTGAGCAATTAAGAATTTGTCTGACAGTTAATATCTGCTCCTTTTTGCAATCTCAAACTACTACTATGCCTGTACCATTTAAAAAAAATGCTGATCATAATGTATTTTGCACTCATTTTACAATCAAAAAAGAGTCTTTTTGCATACAGAAACTTTTATCTGTACCAATGGTTTTTGAAGAACAGAAATGGTAGGAACTACTGAAACTACAGAAACGAGTTAGTAAAGCAGGTAAGATTTATCTTAAAAGTTGGAGTACTAAAGATACAGTTCAGATACTGTAAGGATACAGTTCAGATTAGTTCTGAACAGTAGAATGACCTTGAACAAACCCTCTTAGAAGATAAAATGTGTTTTCCTAATAGCAGAGCTCAGCAATAGCAAAAAACCTGCTGCATTATCAATGCGGTTTTGGTCACAAATCCAAACCATAGCACCACACAGGTTGCTATGAAGAAAGTTGACACCATCCCAGCCAAAACCAGTACACACATTTAGATCTGATGTGACCTTATACCTAAATGCATATACTCCTATTAC